TTTTTTTAATTATTATTTAAAATATGTTATGAGATCACTAATGTACAGGATTCAACTCTTTTTAGTATTGAATGACATGGGAACGCCTTTTCTATACTTATTTATTGGTGGGACAAATTGAATGAAAACATAGTGAATATAGGGGGCATTAGTTTGCGTTTGTGTAGTAGTCTCAGTGATATCATGTTTCCTGTAGGTCACTGTGTGCCAGCTTCCATTCATTCCATCATGATGCTCTCTGTATAGCTATATATGAAAATACAGTTCTGTGTGAAAGTACTGAGTCACCCCTTCTTTTAGATTTTTCTGGGAAAATGGGAAACAGGTGCAGCGATTTATTGAATCATGAAAATATAAATGGAATAATAGCATATGAGTGAAAAACAGAGCTTGGATAGCTCTAACAAGCTTGAAAGTTAATATTTGCTATATAGCTTTCTTGTAATTTCTTTAAGTAGTCTTCAGGAATAGTTTTTCAGGTGTCTCAAAGGACATTCAAAGTTCTTCTTTGGGTCTTTCCTCCTTTTGTTCTGTTCTGTGTTGAGCTGATCCCAAACTGCTTCAATAATGTTGAGGTCCAATCCATGACTGATAGTGTTCAATTGTGTGTTTTTTGCATCTAGGTATGCTTTTACTGCATTGGCAGTGCATTTGGGATCATTGCCGTGATAAAATGTGAAGCTGTTTCCAATCAAACAGTTTCCAGATGGTATGCACCGTGTTGCATGGTGGATCAAAATCTGACGGCACTTTTCTTCAATTTTGACAAGATCTCCAACACCACTGGCTGAACTGCAGCCCCGAACTGCAGGGCCACAGTGCCTCCACCGCATTTTACGGATGACTGTCTGGATCTGGAGATTAAACTTCTTTACTCAAGTACAAGTGAAAAAGTAAAGGCTCTGAAATGTACTCAAAGTAAGAAAGTAAAGGACAGTTCTACTAAAACTAATTTTCTTCTGCACAAGTTGTGTTCATTACTAATGAATGCATACATTAACTAGTTATCACTAAAAATCTCTGCAAATCTATCAGCTCACTTTTTTGGAAAGAAAAAAAGTCTTGATATCCTGTGTCTGTGTACAGAGCAGGGGGGAACCTCTAGGATCAAACTTTTCGGGAGGGCTCAGCCCCTGATCATAAAGTCATGTTTACATTGCCTTACAAAAATTATTAATGGAATATGTTGTTTGCAAAAAAATATTCAGTCCTTTTCACATTTACACACCTTAAATCAATCAACTACACATTAAAATGTGACTTTTAACAGCAACCTAATTGCCAATTGGTACCCATTGTGGTGTTTAAGAATAAATAATCACAGTTTTCAATATAAAACAAAAATTTTAAAGAGTGGCACTTTAGTTATAAAATCTAAGGGAAAGGTTCAGTAATGTGACCACAATATTCCAAATTGAAGGAATTGTTTATAGCAAACGAGATAAGCAGAGAAAAGTGCACGGTCTTTATTTTATTTTATTTTCAGTCTCTTAGCAACACAAAGGCCGTACATTTTACCTAAAGCAATTAAAAACTCACACTTCTACTCTATGCATCTGGACATAATGCAAACTAATTGCTTTTACATTAAAGTTTTCTCATTCATATACTTTAAATCTTCCTGTTTTTGTGCAGAATAAACACGGGATATCAGATTGGAGACTGTTTTTGTGGTCTGTCACTAAAATGTAATGCATGTTTATAGTGATACAAATTCAGTTAAAAGCTACATTCATGTCAACTCATATTTTCTATTTAGAATGAGAAATCATCATCAATGAATGTGGGTGAAACAGAAGCTACCCTAGCTATATAATTTTATTGACAGTGATTGCATGTCCAGTTTTACTTGCTTCTTTTTGTCCAGTGCAGTACTCTTAGACTTAGACTTAGAGCTTTTTACTCACTGCAGTAACTAGTGTCATTTTAGAAAACTGTCTTCATTCATTGTTTTTCTCCATCTGTCTTAGATTCCCTCTGGTGTGCTCAAAGAAAACAATCCTTCTCTGTGGGAAAGAACAACTCACTTGTGGATGTTCACCTGTCTGCCTTTGGCTGCAACACCTTCTCTTGTGTAATAAAACTTCTAAACCTGGTTCATCTCTCATCGTCTGCCTGTGGCTCCAAAAACCTGCGCTGGTTTTGACTTTTGCAATGAATTAAACTCGATGTTTCTACCAGCTATTTTTGTGCAAAGCTCCCTGAACCTTGTGCTATGTAAATCAGAATACATACTTTACATCTTTAAATTTTAATTGTAATAAAGTTATTCAGCTTGAATCAGTTAAATAGAACATCAGCAGAAAAAAATAAGAAAACTTTTTTTTTTTAAAAATCCTCTATTTTCTGTTGCCAAAATGGTAGAGGGTGACTTTGCCTTTAAACAGAAAATGAGTAGGGAAGGGGTTAACGTGGAATTCAGCATGTGGGGTAATTAATATCGCTAGTACTGACTTGAGGAGTTAGTCGAAGGTCTAAAATTCCAGTGTTGCATATAGCACTGAGCACTTATAAATATGATCTATCCTGTCTTTCTTATCTTTCTCCATCTCTGAGTGAAGTTTGCTCTCTTTTTTTCTCTCCCTGTGAAAAACAACAGCCGGACCTTTAGCTAGCAACACACTGTGCGACAAACTGCACGCAAAGTTTGTGTTTGCTGATGTTTGTTAAGCTGATAGAAACGCTGCATTTGAAATTACCTGCTACTTTTGCTAGCTAGCTGTAGCCAGCACTACAATTATGTAGTGCTAGCTAGATCCTGAGGTTTTGCAACCACAATTGATGAACATCTGCATTCATCACAGTGTTCTGTTAAAAAACATAAAAACACTTTAATCCCTTACTGTGTCACTTGATTTTGCCTCGTTGATCTCCTTAAATGCGACATCCCCTGGTGATTAAAACATGAATAGCACTGCCTTTCATGTGTAACTCAGGCTCAGACTGGTTTGATATATGAAGGCCCACAATGACATGAAAAAATAACTTGAAACAACTGTTTTAAACCAAAAGCCTGTTTTGAAGTAGTAAAAAGTACAGATATTTGTTTAAAAATGTAAGGAGTAAAAGTAAAAAGCTGTCCAAAAAATAAATACACAAGTAAAGTACAGATACCTGAACATTTTACTTAAGTAGAGTGACAAAGTACTTGTACTTAACAAATAATCTAGCAAAGACCTGGCAAAAGACCTGCGAGATCCATCCGGCCCTTCAGTTGCTTCAACTACTGTTCACTGAAGCCTCATCAGAAGAATGATATGCTAAACTTTCACCTAATAGCTCTTTGGGAATCACATTGTTGTTATAAAAAATACTGTTTTATGTCACTTAAACTGTCCTATCTTTGACATTGTTCATGGATTTAACTAAATGAGAACAAATGATGACATTTTAATAGGCTGCTGGTAACAAATTTTAGCAAAAAGTTGTCTACTATGTGTTAACAGATCACTGGCTCATACCTTTTGTTAACTAGAGAACGACCCAGAGCCAATGATTGATACAGACACATACAGATCGGTATCTTGATAAAGATTAGAGTTAGAAACATACAGTGTACATACACATGCACGTAAGTACTGACCACTGCACCCTACAATGGTTCCTCAGTTTAAGAAGACAGGTAACTGTGTGTATGTTTAATCCACGTTCTTATCATTAAACCCCTGTTGCTTCATTAGTGAACCAACAATTTACTTCTTTTCTTTCAAAATATCCTCACTCTTTAATCTCAACCCTGACTCAACATACGAGTCAGGGAACACATAAATAGGAACAGAGTGGTAAATAGTAACCAGTAAAATCAGTATACCTCAATTATAATTCCACAGAGCACAGCAGACCCATTTTAACACTTGCAGAATAATGCAGCTCATTGAGAGCACTGGGGAACTAATGGGTTGCCAGTTTGAGTAATATGGACCCAATTTGCCTTCCTATGTGTTTATGACTGGTGACCGCACACTCCATTTGTGTGTGTAAGCGTCTGAAAACTTGAACATATGTGAATGTTTTTCATGCGTAAAGGAATGGTCGTGGTCTTGCTCGTTTTTTTGTGTGCGCTGTTTTGTAATTCCCAGTGTGCATGTGTGTTCATGTTCCCATTGCTATGCGGCCTGCCGTGACGATTTCAGGATGAAGAATGTGGGTCTACATGTCAAAGATGTAGATGCAGTTAAACAGTTAAATAGGGAGAGCTACAAAAAGAGAGGTCAACCATCCAAAGCAGCTGTCTGCTGCTATCTCTACTCTACATGTCTGTGCTAAATGTGCATTTGTATTTGTTTGCACTAACACCACTGATTATCTAAACAAGTAACAATTTTCATCAGCAATAACAGGACAGACAGTGGGCTTAATAGTAGTAAGACAACAATAAGCAGCTTGTTGTTGGTGTGTTTTTATTGAGTGCTATAATTCACTTTTTGGCAGCTGGAAATCCAAATGATGTGTTTCTGCTTCCGATTTCTAGGAATGATTAACACTGTTAATGTTACACATCTATCAGTTTTACTATATAAAACATCACCATTCAGCCTTTCCAATGTCCAGCCCTGTATGTGGATTCTCAGTTTTACAGCAGAGCGTTCTTACACTGCCACCATGTGGTCAAAACACAGATGACACTCCAGTCCTGGTAAATTAAAAGTTGAAATAAACTAAATTTAATGAAAGATTGATCTAAATGTATCTCTCTGTAAAACGTATAAAACAAGTAAATCACTTAAAAATGTAATATTTATACTTCTTTAACCTGCAAGGAGACTAAAAATCAGTGTTTAAAATTTAGTTGTTTCCTTTTTTCTGTTCTTTAAAATTGTCATAATTTTTATTGGACCATCATTCTGAGGTACTGAGAACCTGTAGTTTAATGTTTCAGTAGTGTGAAGTGCATTTAGTGACTATTTTATGTGCAGCTAACTTCCTGTTTTTTCATATTTATGTAACCTCATGAAATCAGTTCATTCTGATAGTTGAACAGGAGAGATTACAAGCAAATCTAGAAGTAACTGCATATTTTTATTGTGTTAATGAAAAAAAACTTGACAAGACATTTCACAAATAACTGGGAGTATTACAGTGCACCTCGTTACTTTGGCCTTCGACCTTTGAACTTTCATCTACAGACCACTCTACACACAGCTGTTCCTTTGCCATTATATACAGAGCTTTGCTTTTCCCCCCGAGACTCACACATGGACACACACACACGCATAAAACAGAAGCACACAATTCACCCACCCTCACACACACACACACACACAAACACACACATACAAGCTTCTCCTTGTGAGCTGTTGAACAGGGGTGCGTCACATGACATGGAATCCAACAGGACTATTTGATTGGAGGACTGTGTGAACATCAAAGACTCTAAGTGGACACTGTCTTTAAGGAAGAGCTTCTCCATTGGCTGTAATGTACAAAATTGTTGGGGATGAGTAATTTTAAGCAAAACACAAACAACACAGATGTAAATCTACATGTATAGGAAAAATAAAAATCCACCACAACATATCAGCTTATCTTTGCACATAAATACATACGAATAATAATAATAATATTCAACATTGTGCTTTCTTTCTCTCCATCTCTTTCTTGCCACCACACCATTGTCAAATGCATTAGCCACTAACATTGGTCATGCAATTTCAAGCACAAAACAACAGCTGGGTTAAAAGGAATACTCAGGCAGTTTGACATCACTACCAGTGTAAAAAAAATGCAGTTTTGTAAGAAGGAAAACCCCTATAGAGTTAATATTAGCACAACTTAAGTAGTTCTGTGATTAAAAAGCAGGCGTTGGCACATGCAGAGACTAACAGCATGCTCCTGCAATGAAAATCAGTTTACTTATTTTAATGCAGTAACCCCTCTCTACCTGGACGTGGTGTCAAAATGCAGAGTGTCCCTTTTACAGGCGTCAGTCGGTTCAGTTCAGTTTAACGAGTTAATTACATCTCTATAAAGAAGGTATATAAATAACAGCAACAATGAATCCAAACATCAAAAGTCCACTCACAGGTCTAGTTTATGCCATGAAACATAAACAGACCACATATTCATCATGAAAAACAGACTGAACGCAAATAAAAAGCATGTTTTATTTTACAAGGCCAGCCAGTTTCACTTTCTTTCATGTGGATAGACTATGATACATTAAAGTATGGTACCACAGGTAGGCTTCACCTAAGCCTGTACACACAATGGACACTAGGGGCAGGGCTACACACACAATGTTAGCACAGACAACCAACAAACAAAGACTTCTATACAGACAGTACACAGCGAGAGATTAGACTAAGACATGAGAAGGAAGACCTTATAGTACTAATTGTCCATTATGTAAGGATGACATCATTAAGCAGCAGAAATCAGTGACACTAATGACCGGAACACCAAACTGAGAAGTGATTACAACAGTGTATGAAGTCACATGATAGAGTTGTTTTTCTTTTCTGTTGCAGTGAAAATGCGTTGTGGTTTTTATAACCGTGCTAGAAGAAGAATCTGTGACTCGCTTAATTTAAATCTTTGCATAACTATTTAAAAACAAACAATATATGCAAGAACAGTGTAAAACAAAAGAAGTACCGCTTCGAATACCAAAAAAAAAAAAAAATTAAAATTAAAATTATAGACTCACTCATAAATATCATGCTAATATATATACCGCAACGTAGCCCAGAAACACAGGTTGTCATACTTGGAGTCCACTAATATCTTTCCTTTTCCTCTTCATCCTGCTCGCCACATTAATGCTCCTCACCCAAAAAACACCCGTCATCATTTTGTCTTAATGTTTACGCACAAAATGTTGAAATCAGCTAATTTGTCATCTTTGGAGTGAGGTTTTGGATTATGTCAGAGCTCTTCCTACTGTCTTTCTTGTATTTTTACACATAACAGATACCAGGTTCGTTTTAGACATACTTATTTAGGTTATTATTTGCTTTCAAACTGATTTCTTTGTGCTCCACCTGTGTCTTTGTACTGTAAACATCTTTTTGTCATTTCATGGAATTTGAGTAGATTTTCCTCTACTCTTTCTACAGTGGTTCAAGCCAGTATGTAAAACAATATATGTAATCACATCAGGCCAAATATGCCTGCTCTCTAACTATGACCACCTGCTTTGCATTGTTTAATTTAGTTTGCCGTGACATGCCTCAAATTGCCCGAGGAAAACTGCAATCTGTTTTTTTTAAACAGCAAAATATAACATAACCAGTTATTTGCTGTGATGATCTGCTCCACAGGATGCCAGCTCTTTCTTTTGTGACTGTTTTATGTAATATGCGCAAAACCATGGAAAAGTGACATTAATATGAATGCACTTGCTGTGTACAACACCACAGGAAGTTGTTCATTTCTCTGAACAAATTTCAAATGTTACTTCTTTTTTTAACTGCCTGTGCAATTGAACTTAAATAGTAATGTGTTTCCAGTTACTTTTTTGTATGTTCCAGTTGCTCCGTTCGGTCCCATTGTGCATAAAACAAGAGTCCACACTTTTGCTACGCTGGCATGAAATCTTCAGGGCAAAAAAGCCGTTAGGAGTTAATCCAAAACTTTTGGGCTTACATTTGTTTCTGTGGTTCAGTCCTTTAAAACAGTGTGCACACTGTGACGCACTAACTACACGCAATGTGTAATTGGATTTTTTGAGATGTGGAAATCCTTTGCTATGAACCCATGACAGGTAAGTGAGTTTATTGCTCACACATAAAGGTGTGTTTACTCCCATGTATCTGCTAGTAAACGCACTAATCTAGTGGAACTATAAAGGGATCGTGCAGAATCAGTTAGAGCAGTAAGGCAGCACATGCAGGGACTGGCCAGTGGGATGAGGACTCAGGGATTGGACTACCATATAGTGGGGGCATCCATAGATAAATATACACAATAGAGGAGGTGCTGTGTGTGTCCGTGTGTGTAAGTGTGTGCGTATGTGGGTGTATCTGTATGCGTGAACACCTCCAGGAGTTCTTGGTTTCTCAGTCTCTGTCGTTCTCCTGCTTTCTTCTTGTTTCAGTCCTTCTTTTCTCCCTCCGTTTCTTTCTCCACATCGTTACTCCCCTGCACTGCGTGGCGCACGCGGGTTTGGTTTCCCATCGTGGGTCCGACGGTTTCTCCCCTTCCTTATCTCCTGAAGATGCTTCCATTTCTTATTAGGTGGGCGGACAGCAGGACGCAGAGGTGCGATGTCCTTACCCTCCTGGTCACCACCGGTGTTCCTGCGTGCCCAAACCTGCTCGCAAATCTGGTCAACCGTGTTTAGGTTCGGATGGTCCACCAGCTGCATGAAGTCCCGGTACCAAAGCTTTTGATTGGTCATTGGGGGTCCACCTCCGCTGCGGGGGTCTAATCGAACAGGGGCATCGGAGGGTAGATTGGAGACAAATGAAGGTGTGGAAGGTACAAGTTCTAAGGTGATGCCTAGTAAAGTTTGGGTGAAGCCATGCTCCATCGCATGGCACTGGTAGATGCCAATATCTCTTTTCAGGACACGGCGAATCAGAAGACCTCTGTCTGTCTGGAGTATGCGATCGTCTAGACGGACCTATAAGCAAGAAAAAATCAACTGAAATCATGAAAAGAAATAAGCTCTAAAGCTGCAAAGCTGTTGTTTGCTAAAGTAATTATAAAGAAAATAATTTGATTTCTGATCTGATCTGATGATGCAAACACACACAAAACATTTTCATGACCTATAAATGCCACAGTATACTTTAATGACTTCTCGGTCATCATCTCTGGCCAGTGTCAGCCATTCCTCTCACCTCTTCTCGTCGATTCTGTGGATGTTTCTGGAAGGTCCAGGTGATTCTGGCCTGAAGGGATTTGGGGACGCACTCCAAGAAAGTGCTACTTCCCTCTACACCATACAGCTTCTTCTCTGCAATACGATGCTTATGATGATCTGCAGGGGGCAGCAGAGACAAACACAAAATGAGTCAATTTAGAGCAGCACATGTGCTCGCTAATAACAAAACATGTCCAGGTTAGAATAAGACAGAGGAACCTGGAAGGATAGGATGGTGAATCCAGAAATGTTACTAGAAAAAACAGACAGGCAGAAATATTGTTTTCTAAAATGAGTGATATGACCCTAAATCTTAACCGCAGCCATAAAATTGCACAAAAGTACTCAAAGACTTAAAAGTCAGCCTACATCAAGGCCAGAGGTGGGGAGAGGATTACATAGATTACTGGTGAAACAATCGTCTACAAACTGCCAAACAGACTCCTGATCAGCATTTTATGGTACTTTGGGGTAGTGCCGATCTCATCACAGACAATTACTCTGACCTTCATTAGTTTTACACAACACAGCTTGCAAGCCAAATGACGTAATCGCATTACTCAGGAGCTCCTTCAGTTTGAGCGATTAGCCTGATTCAGCTTTATGGCAGCAAGACAGCAACAAAATGCTGGTATTGTGGCCTGAGCAGACAGAGGTCACCAGGGGTGAAAGCGGGGGATATTTTAGATTATTTGGTATAAGGACTGTAAGATTTCAGATGGCAAGCTTCTCAATGAGTCCAAGAAGCATCAGACTACAGCTTGCATAGTTTAGTCTTAACAAATAGGATTAACACCAGTTTTCCTAACATGTCTACAAAAGTCACTGTTGTAGATATGGAAATGATGAAAGAATTGTACCTCCTGAGCACAGAGTGTTAGGGTCTCCATTTCTTACATCCTGGCGGCGAAAACGTCTGTAACAAGTTTGACATTTTAGTTTAAGAAAAGGAATGTTTTCTTGCATGACAGTATTTGCAAATTCACTTTTTTTTTAAGCAAAGACAATCTGTTATAGGTCATGTTAATGTCAAAGACCTCTTTGTGTTTGGCAGGTAGCGAGTACAGGAAGTTCCATCCCAAGCACAGTACGGGTCTCTGGCCAGGCAACACTCAGCGCAGGCCTTCCCGTATACACTGCAGCGGTGAAGTGGAATCTGGGCAAGGCCCGTGTCAGAGCCGACATACAGCTGTTGCTGTGAAAACAACGCAAGCAAAGAGAAGCATTTAAAACATGTTTTATTCTGAAACAGCTCAAAAGCTTATGTGCCAGAAATACCATCCATGTGTCCATTATGGCAATTTATGTTGGCTCTCTTTGGTTATATTGAGCATTATCCATCATCACCATTAGTACAGCCTCACATACTATATTGCTCTTTCGGGACATATAAATATATTGCTGTGTAGATAAACAGGTCGATTAATTTCTAAGTCTAGATATGTCAACCATTTCCACTGTGAAGAGGAAATAATTGACTAAAGATAATACAGTGCTGCACTGTTTGACATACTCTTAAAAACATGATTTGGGGGCTTTTAACAATTAAACAAGCATACCCGTTTTGAGGAGATCTGCATGTTGATGATAGATGAGGCGTCCTGGGAAGGAGAAGAGATGTACCAAACTAAATAACATACTTTTTAGATTTGACCAAAATTATCGGTATGTAGTTAAATTTTATTTATATAGCACCAAATCAAAACTTCAAGGTGCTTTATATCGTAAGGTAAATATACTACAATAATACAATATACAATGGATGTATACATGCATATGTATACAATGTTCTTTCAAACTATCCTTTGTTTTCCTCTTTAGGTCATGTCCAGGGAGTACAGTACAGTTACTAAAAGGCATACAAGTTTGAATGATCCATTCATTTCAACACTTCATTGAGATTTAATGCTTGTAAGAATACAACATGTCATGATGACTAAATGTACTAAATACATGTAGGTTCATGTATTGTTGTTAGCACAGTTTTCTTACTTTGAAAACTTCCAACTCCTCCAGTAAAAGTTCCTCCATGTTGTTCCAGCTCTCCTTGGGGACACTGATAACCTTTAGTACTGTCCCTTTATCTGAAATTTCACACACACAACCGCTTAATAACTAATTTCATCATTTTCCTGTTTAACCCTAGAGTTAGAAATGATCACTGCTCATTCACCTGTGCCAATGAACATGACATCGTACTGTCCATCAGCAGCATTGACTCTGTCCACAGCGATCTGTGTAAAGCTGTAGTCCACATTGGTCCTGATGAAGATGGGCCTTCGACTCATAGGGTAGACCGGGTTGTACATTAGAGGGTGGTGACGCGCGAACTGAATCACATCATCTGGGAAACCCTTTGTTGACTCAAAGCTGCCGAATGTCTTGCTGGGGCACTAAAGAAGGGCATAAAAAATCGAATTAGTATTTTGGGAACTTAAAAAGTGGTTAGTGCACTTTACTGAACATCAGTGGGGATACAAATAAAAAGAGGATTTTAAAAAACTACTACTACAGTGAAACTACTGTGAGTACACATTTTCTCTCGGGACCTGAATGCGTGAACGTGCATGCATGCGGCTGCTGTAAAGCTCTGCAAAAAACAGCTGACTCTGAGTCAGTGCTCTCCTATTTACTATGTTTGGACTCGGTCATTGCACAATGACTGATATTTGATGAGTAAACTTGTTTTGTCTTTCTGGATGTAAACTGAAATTAAATGCCGAACTTCTCAGCACTTTAGCTGACCTGAAGTACACAAAGCACAGTTCAACAGAGAGGTGATTATGGTGTGATGGGTCTCAAGGACTTAAAAGAGATTTACACCAGGTCAGAGTCCAGCCACTCTCTTTAATTAAAATTCCAGTCCTGGATTTTCTAAATGCTGAAAACTCAATTTAGCATCATGCAGCAACTATTCTCATACAATTCCATGTTTTTCTTTTTACTAATTTGCACTATATTGAGCCACTTTGTTTGTTTTTTTTGTTTTGTTTTGTTTTGTTTTTTGTGGGTTATGCATTTTAAATCAGAATGTGCATTATGTGCACTTTTTGCATAAATGTCCTTGAAAGCATGATCGTGTTCTTAAAATCTGATTTGTTCTGCTAATTTTACAATCCAGCGAGGTAATGATGGCGTGAGGGAGGGTTTTCTGTAGGCCAAATACAATTAGTATTCTGCATTCATACAATAGGGATTGTTCTCCAGCAGCAGTAACAGCTGAAGCTCTGCATAACAAATCCTGCTGATGCTACACTTGTGTGCTTAGCTGAATGTAAAGGCCCATAATGAGCACATATTGATTGAAAGGAAAGGGGGGAGTTGGAAGAAAACAATATTTAATAGTGAATACTGCCTCAATGTGACTATGAGGCCATTTTTTTTTACGACTTTTTTGTTTTGTTTTGAGTTTTAGTTTGATATACTGAAGAATATTCCACTGTATGTGATGGTCTAGCATTATTAATTTATTGGGTCATTATATCTATGGCTAGGGCTGTTCGATATAATGATATATATCGGATGACAATATAAAAACGTCTATGTTTCATTTTACGCTATCGTTTGTTTCGTGGTGTCGCAAAATAAGCTGTTTACGGCAATATTTTTTCATCGTTTTGATGGTCACTGTAGTGGCTATATTAATTTCTTAAAGTTCTCCCTTTCCCTTATGTTTTATATAACCACACTACAGACTGACAAGCGCCTGTTTTTATGCCTTGTGGTTAGCAACAACGACGGTAACACCATCGCGTGTCCGCTTGTTTATGTTCCACATAAACCTTTCACAATAAAGCTCAAGATCCTGTTGAGACTTTTCAAAATAAACTGAATCACGTGAAAGAGCAGATTATTTATGGAAGAGAAATAAAAAAGAGCCGCCAGGTGCTAAAAAATAAACCTTAGACTCAAACATTAGAACAGGCTTTTCCCCGCAGCACGCCGTGTAATAAATGCTCACAAAGAAACGGCGGCCGTTACAACTTATGTCTAAAAAGTGTATAGTTTGATGCATCGGTTAAAACCATCCAGCTACATGACGCACAGCTGGAAACACTTCCCGCAAGTCGAGCTGCCCGAGATTCATAGAATTTACAGAAAATGTTATAGTTTTGTGATTTATATCGTTATAGAATTGAAATTTTGGTCATATCGCACAGCCCTATCTATGGCAATGTGTTATATATTATAGGATGCATATATGTTTTGTACTTAAAATCAGATTTTAAGTGCAAAGTAATAACTAAACATTAACGTAATCTAAAATATACACTTCCATCTGAAAAGCAGCAAGTAAAAGTTTCTCACAATTACGCAAATATGTGTACATTTACTTGATCAGCCAACACTGCACTGCTGGAAACTCTAGATACTGTGACGCTGATGCGCTTTTATGATTACTGACATACCATTCCAGGGCGGGGATAGGGCACTTTTCCCTGGAAGGGGACCCACTGGTAGTTGGGCCCCTCTTTGTGAGCAAATGGCCCCAGGAAGGCCCTCCGGATGTCATTCATGGAGTAGAGACACACAGCTGAGCCTTTAAATACACTGCTGCTGGTGGACAGAGGGAGTTGGGTTAGATGCAACAAAAACACGCAAAATACACAAAAACGTCTCTCCTCACACACAGACATGCACAAACACACACACGTAATATGAACAGATTCTGACCTGGAAGTGGAGAAGACGGTGTAAACCAGAGGGTTCTTTCTGTCCCTCGTCTGCAGCAGGAAAACATCGCCTAAGGGTGAACGGCCATGCACACACACACACAAACACACACACACTGGTCAGGTGGCAGTAGACTAACGGTCAAAGGTTGAGTGAAAGATAAACAAAACCCTTTGGCCATGTCTAAGAACCTTAACGAGACATGTTACTGATAACTGAGGGTCATGACATGGAACAAAATCCACCACAGGTTCATGCAGCTTATAAAAATCTTTTAAACAAACTGAGTTTCATTAAGTTTTTGCTTCACTTGTCAGGTTTGAGATCTCCATAATAAACAAGAGCGTATTTCTTAGTCTTGAGCCACAAAATGTGCTTCCATGTACTTTAATGAAATTCCTGCTTCTAAAGACATAACATGGTGCACATATTTTAATAGAACAAAAACTTCAGATTAACAATTATTTATTTTTACATGGATATAGTTGGAAAAATTCAAGGTCAAGACAAGAGACTGAAAGTTCATGAGGGAATCTGATGGACAGATGTGGCCAAAGGGTAATTTAGACTTTAGCCTACACCACTTACTTTTCCTTTCACTATGTCATGAGATAAGCACAAAGACAGATCATATTATAGCCCACAGATACAGCCTAGAAAGCTCTATCGGAAACATCTTGAGAGCTGAAACTCGTGCAGCTGCTCAGCAAACCACATGACTGCAGGTTCGGGGAGACGTTGCATAACAACAAATAGCTCATTCTTTTAAAAATATATTCCAATAATGATTTTAGTAATACGTATAGGTAATTTCTCATTTTGGTAAAAGTAAATCCTGAATTCCAGATAGAGTGAAACAAACCAAAAGCAACTTGTTTTTTATTTGAAAGAAATCTCTGGTCATCTCAGGTATAGTTAGCTAAATAACTGGCCTGACATTAACCTCATAAACAGGTTGAAAATCCAGTCTCTGCATGTCTTTTTATTACACCTAGCTGACTTATTATAAAGGTGAAAACCCCATAAAAAGGTTCCTAAATGCTTTATTGTTTATATTTTAAAGCACTATTGCTAATTTTAAAAATTACAACAGAAAAACTCTGAATGTCGACTGTAAATCATGTTTGAATGTCAGGTCTCTGATAAAAACTCTGACTTTCTGTTCTTCTGATCTTCATGACAGACTCACTGTTAGTCTATTCTCTGATGAAATAACTTCCACAGTTAGTTTTTGCACTGCGGGTTAATGCTAAATTTATTATGAACAAGATGAGGAGTGCCAAAACATCACAGCTATGTCCATTTTGTATCCACATATAGCTTTAAAAGGCAAAAAATGTGCCTAACATTGCTCTTAGGATACTCATCAGCTTGACTTGCATTTTATAACTTCTTATGGGTATGGGTCAGTACTGGACACTGCTCTGAGGATGGGTTCAAAAAAGGGTCATTTTTTCCAGAGGAACAAACATGATTTACATTTGTCCTCTAAGTCCAAGGATCCCTCATAGAATCACACTATATTTCACCAGACATTCATTTTATTACAACTGCAAAATGTGGTTAGAAATTGGCGTCTATGCTCCAAAGTCATAAATATCATCCTGGAGCCAAAGGATAGGGGTTGAAAGACCAGGCAGCAATGCAGGGCAACAGTGGCACCGTCATGTCAGAGGAAGATATGGAAGGTTTTGGAGCTTAAACAGACCACAAAACTGGGAATGTGTGCTTGGTGTGCAAGGTGTACAGGACAGTCTTTAGAAAAAGCTTTTAAAAATATACACATACATACATATATATATAATAAAAAGTATAACTTCTCGGTGGAAATTCATATAGGTTTACAAGAAAATTGTGGCTTCTTTGTCATTTGATATGCTTTATAAATATAAATCCACTTCTGGATTTCATCTCCTGAAAACACATTATAGGTTTTTGTCATATGAAGAGTTACCAGAGACGAGCCTCTAACTTTCTCTAAACCCACAGCAAAAACATTGGCTTTCGATCAGGCCAGAATCTATTACCAATTAATCTGTCTCATGCTTGCTCCAAGTCTGCAGGAATGTTAGACTGAATGGTAATCTACAATTGAGGTCAGAAATCCCTTTTTTTATTATTATTATGCTTTCCAGGACCTTTTCTCCATTTGCCCGCAGAATGTCCTTCTGGATAAAAATCCAAAAAGGAAAATCAGCACTTTTTTTTTGCTTTTCTGTTCTCTGTCTACTGAAAAGTGAGACTACCAGATTATAATGCACAATATCTTAGAAGCGGTTTTGTATTTTGGAATACAAAACGTTAGTAATGACCAAATTCTTTTGGTGAAAGTGGCAAACAACCTAACAGGAGGAGGATGTCGAGTGAAAGCTTTGTTTACTTCATTTATGTTATATTATACTTTTACTCAGCACAATTTTCATCTTAAAATAGTTCACACAGTACCGTACTTGTACTACTGACAGTTTGCACAGCTGTACTTACGCAGCTCATCGAAGTACGTGTCGCTGCCATCAGCTCCTGGTACCGAGCAGATCAGACGGGTCTTCAGAAATGTTGTCCACTTGTTCACCAGGCTTCGCTGACCGCCCATATCATTCTGATTGGAGAAAAAAATAGCCAAGATAAATTTAAGAGGATATTTTATTTATATTTGTCAACAATCCAGCTGGAATTGCTGCTGGACTTTACCCTGCACAGCTGTCCGATTCTGGAGTAGGTAGATTTTCCCAACCCTTGAGCCTCAACCGCTGTCTCCCGGAAGAAGAAAAAGACCTTATCGTCATCTTGGTTCTCACTTTCAGGGACCCAAAAGGACCCAACAAACTTTGGTTCTGGTAAAGAAAATCAAAGAAAAAAATTAGTCAAAAATAGCCTTTTCTATCAACACAGTGTAATTCTTCATGTGAGTCGTCTCAACACATAATCTGATAAATAAAGACAAAAGTGCACCATTAAGCCATCTTGAATCATGCTGTTCAGTGCGGATAGAGGGGCGTTTCCCCAGGCTTCTGAAGATGGTGAAGTCCCTTCCCATTAAATCTGTGGCCACGCCTGCATACAGCTCATCACCTAGGAGACAGAATTAGTCAACGACTGTTTAGATAATATATTTGTAGTACGTCAAATCAGCCCAATTTCAAGACACAGTCAATGAACGTTCTTATTCAGTCATCTCATATTAGTTTGCATGGGTTCAATTACCGACGAGCACAGATGCAGCGTTGTGTCGAGGATCATACGGACTCTTTCCTTTCCCGTCCTCTACTTCAGAAGGGTCGATCCTGAACACGTGGTCCTGATGGACACAGGAGGGAAGGGATTTTACAGTGTGATTACATTTGCATAGTCCTTCTATAAATTGGGGGTTTAAGTTTATTTTTGAGATTTGTTGTAAACTAGACGTAAATGCCAATTTCTTTATACACTTAAGACCATATTTTAAGGGTCTGTCGACAGGTACACTGAATAGAGACTAAATTGGTTGGCAGAGGACTGGAGATTCTGTGTTTGAAACATCTTATTTTCAGCAGATGAGAACAAATAAAGACATTGTATAATATTTTTAGACTTTCTTGTTACACTGTTGCATAGTGAGTGTCGTGTAGGTTGTGTTTTGCACATTCCTCACCTCCATCCTGTGTCCCACCTCGACAAAGGCACAGGTGGGGTGGAAAGCACCCGTTCCACAGGCATATAAGTGGGTGCGGTTATAGTGGTGTACAATCTTCACGTAGTTCACACAGTCAGACTGAAAGACACATACACATATAGTACTTTAGGAAGCTTTAGGAAGGAAAATGTTTTGTGATTGGCACTCTGCAAATTATGAGACAGAGTGTTAGGTACACTACTGAAACACAATTCTTGCATGAAATACATTGCCCTTTTTTCCAAGCCTGACACATTGGTAGTGTTTACCTTTAAATACAGTAAATACCTGTCTGCCATTTAGTCTATGATGTCCCCAGATCCACCTCCTACTCACAGGTTTGACATCATGTGAGTCCTGGTTAATACGACTGACTAACAATCAAATGGTCAAATGAATATCCACACATAATTTAACCAGGTTTCCTAAACTGCTAAAATATCACCAATCTCTATAATAACCTTGCTGTCAAGTTTCTTTGACTTATATTTATACATTTATAGAGAAGAATGCAGAATAGTTACATAAAGAAATAAGAGAAACTTATATTTCATTATCCATTTTATTTTTGCCAGACATATATCTTTTCAAACCATTTTAATCTTTGTTCTATGTCTTCTTATTTCCATTATCCTGGCTTCTTTCCAAAAACAAGCGAGCATGTTATTGATTCATAGACACATCTGTTCATCTCAGAATCAGGTTACACTGAGATGGATCTCAAGAGAGTGCTGGAAAAAAAGATTTACTGCATACTATGATAATGGATGGTACATTTTTCTTCCTGTCTTCAAACACCACGCTTTGAGGTGATTAGCCCATAAAGAGATGATACTATATGTGGACTGCTGTGGACACTATAATTATTGCCATTATCATGAGAATCTCACACCACAGATTTATATTGAATATGAATTATTATAAATGATTTTCTGTATTGTAATTAAGAAAGTGTTCAAAACAACATGTCATCAGTACAATGTTTATTTCTTATATATTCACACACTGTAGCACACATCTAAGCTTTTATCTTTCCATTTTGCGCTTGTCTTCTTCTCCCCAGACAGGTCACTGCAACATCTGTCTGTCGATTGTTGTGAGTATTGGTGGATCTAAAGGTTTGGAAAGGCATGAATCCCACTGTCAACAGCAGACAGTCATAATGCAAACAGCTCAGAGCCTGGATCATTTGGACAGTTAAAAGACAAATTAACCATTTTTGGAGTAAATATGCAGAATATCAGTTTCTGCGTAAGCGTTCATAGAAAGTGAATTGTTTGGCCTGCTGTTTTCCAGGTCTCCTGTGCACGGCAACAGTTTAGTCAGCCAATCGATTGGTTAAACACCTTTATGTGTGCGTGTGTACACTACAACAAGTAAACTTGTGTATTCACACAACAACTCCCTCTCTAATCCCCTGGTAGGTTTTAAAGGCTGAATGGCAAGCCTTTGTTCTAAACCACTAAAGGTTATATATATGTGTGTGTGTGTCTCAGGGGGCAGAGAAAGGTGAGGCACTCAGCAGAGCAGGAGGCTGACAGAGAAAAGTCTTTGATGTGACAAAGGAGAGAGATCAGGAGGGTAGGGAAAAGATGCATGAGCGACCCTGAAAAGATACAAAAAGAATGAGGTGAAATGATGACAGCAATCACTTTT